TCTTTTCCCGGCTCGGGACGCGGCTGAGGGGGTAAGGCGGCTCCTGCGCCGGCAGCACCCCTGAGGTGCGGCCAGGCGGGGCGGTAGCGGGGAGTGCGTCGGCCTCGTGAGTCGCTTCGTGAAGACCTCGGAGCGCTGCAGCGGCTCAGGAGCTAGGAGCCGGGGCAGGTGAGGGCGGTGGGGTCCGGGACCGGCTTATCTGCCTACCTCGGAAGACAGCCAAGGTGCCGTTCGGCAGGGCCACCATGCCGTCCGCCGGCTTCCCGTTGCATAGGTCCTTCTCGTCCTTTACTGCAAAACATAGTGAATTGGGTTTGTTTAACATTTAACAATAACAAGTTGCCTCGTCAGCACTACGGCTGTTAAATGTGATCGCGTGTGTCGGGTGATGTTCGGGGCCCTTGTTATGCAAAGGGTTTAATTACTCATCTGGGAGATGTTTCTGGAAAAATTAGCTCTTGCGTCTGGCCCCACGAGTGCAAGAGCAGCCATTTACATGACTAGGTATGCATACCTGTGCTTACTGCTTGCCTAAGTATCTGTAATGCAGAAAAAAACACAAATGCATTGCATTCTACTTCTTTAAAATTTTTTATGCTCTGGGATGTTTACTTTGTGCTTAGTAGGTTCTCTTCCCTCTCCTTATTTCTTAAAAGAGCATTTACATTTACTTTCAGTTAAATATAAATGAAGGATGAATCTGTTCTGGATAAAAGTCCAAGTATTTTGCGTCTAAACAACTTCTTCTTCTTCTCAAAAAAGAAAAAAAACCAAACCAAAAAAAAACCAAACCCAAGAACCTTCAGGCTATGCATGATTAAAATAAATAGCGAGGACGTGAAAAATGTGGCAAAGAGCACAGAGGAAAGAGAATACAAGGAAGAGATTTCTTGTCTACCTTATATGACATTTTCTGTATGTGACTACAGAACACCTGGTTACCATAAGTAATGAATATTCAGCTTGACTCCCTTGCAATGTTTTCATGGGACTTAGAAATTTATCTTCTTTTTCCCTGACTTTTTTTCTGTTTGCATCTTTTACAGTACTTACAGTAAAATTTTTCAGCAAACAAGATCACACTCTAAACTACATGAAGAATTTAACAATGCAACTCAAAACGGAGGTACTGGTATTAAGGATGCTGGCAGCTGCAGCACCTTGGTTATGATTTACCTGATTATGGTTTACCACTGGGACAGAAGTAACATGTTCTTATGATACTGTGTAGAAAGCACTTGCATGTCCTTTACTCATGTGTTTTGTTGTGCTCTGGTGGAGTTACTGCTGCTTTTGTACCTACTGGAATGCAATTACCTTGTGTTTCTCCAGTTAAAATTGGCAAGTCCTCAGTTTGTATTAAAGGCTTGTTTATGTCAGGCTCTTCTTTTACTGGCAGAGTTTCAGGGTCAGCTGGATGAGGATCTTTGCTCATGTCAGTAACCTCCTGGAAATGTATAGTTGGCTTTGATGTCCCCTTAGAAACAATAAACATTTCTTCTATTGTGTCTTTTTTATCTCTTGTAGTGGTTTCTTTGGTAGCTGTAGTTTCCTCTGCTTTGTCAATACTAGGGGCCTTCTCGGTGGCATCAGGCGTTTCTTCAGGTGTGACCCTAGTTTCTTTGGTGGTCGTTACTTCTTTTTTACCAGCTGTTGTCTCTACAATAACACAAACATTACTTATGCTCTCTTTAGCTGCTTCTACAGTCTGCTTAGTTTCTGTAGTAGTGTCTTTTTTATTTGTTGTTACAATTTCCATGGGTTTAGGAGTTGAAACTGGTTTGGCTGTTGTTGTCGACACAGTGGGCTTGGGCAAGGGAGTTGTAGCTGCTGCAGCTGCTGTTACACTCTCTGTCCTTGTGGTGCTTTCTTCCTTCTTAGTTGTGAAAGTCTCTTTTGATGTGGGAGTCTTGTCCTGTTTAGCTGAGGTTGCTTCTTTTTCTGCAACTGTTGTTACAGTCTTTTTGTTGACAGTAGTTGCTTCTGATGCAGCTGCTGTAGTGACAGTTTGCTTTGTTGTAAGAGTGGTGTTTGGAATATCATCCTTACCTTTAGGAGAGTCATCTTGTTTAGCTGTTGTCTCTGAAGTTACAGTAGTCGTGTCTTTCCTACTTGTTGTTGTTAAAATGTCTTTAAGCACAGTAGTTTTGGCTTTCTTGGGTGTTGTTACCTCTTTGTTCACTGTGGTTGTTTCTGTTTTAGTTGTTGTCCCTTCGGTTATAGGAGTAGTAACAGCTTTAGCTGTTGTTTTGTCTTTTTTGTCAGTTACTGTTACAATCTCGGTAGTCCTAGTTTCAGTCACCACTGTCTTTTGAACTGCTGTCGTCGTGCCTTTCACACTTGTGCTGGTTGCTACTTTGGGTGCAAAAGTTGTAATTTTCTTTTCAGTTGTTTCTGAAATTGTTGTGTCTGTTCCAGGTATGGGTATTTCTTTTGTAGTTGTTGTGACAGTCTCAGTACTTTCAGTGCTCGTGTCTTTTTTAGCAGTTGTTAATAACCCAGCACCACTAGCTGTTACTTCCATAGATGTTTTTTGTATGTCAGTGGTGTCAGCCTCAGTGCCTGCAGGGGTAGTTCCCTTGACCTTAGGGGTGGTGGAAGATTCTGCCTCCTCTGTGTTAGGGGTAGAGGGAGAGTCTGCCTGGATCATTGATGCCTCTGGGGTTGTGTCTTCTGCTTTGGGGGTGGTGGGAGAGTCAGCCTTGGTTGTAGGTGCCTCTGGGGTTGTGTCTTCTGCTTTGGGGGTGGTGGGAGAGTCAGCCTTGGTTGTAGGTGCCTCTGGGGTTGTGTCTTCTGCTTTGGGGGTGGTGGGAGAGTCAGCCTTGGTTGTAGGTGCTTCTGGGGTTGTGTCTTCTGTGTTAGGGGTAGAGGGAGAGTCTGCCT